GGGGGGGTGCTGGGGGAGGGGGGGCGGCGGGGGGGGGGGTTGGGTGGGGGGGGGGGGGAACCGGCCGCTGGAAGCAGGGCTGGACGGTGGCTGCAGGGCTGGACTGGGGAGATCAGGAAGAGAAAGTGGGGGGGAGAGCGGGACTGACCTGGGCACATGCAGACAGACGAGTGAGTCTGGCCGGGGAGTCCATTTTGCCCCCTCCCTCCCAAATACCCTCCCTGGAGTAGTTGTGAACTGCTTGTCAGGTAGACACACACAGACAGCGTGAGCACATCTACCAGCGGTGGCTGCAGGGCTGGACTGGGGAGATCAGGAAGAGAAAGTGGGGGGGAGAGCGGGACTGACCTGGGCACATGCAGACAGACGAGTGAGTCTGGCCGGGGAGTCCATTTTGCCCCCTCCCTCCCAAATACCCTCCCTGGAGTAGTTGTGAACTGCTTGTCAGGTAGACACACACAGACAGCGTGAGCACATCTACCAGCCAGGCAGCTAAGGACTAATACACCTAATTATAATAAAACATACCTAATTAAAAAATACCAGGCATTTTATATTACAAAACCGGACACCTGGCAACCCTACCCTTCCTTGTACCCTCCCTCCTAGCCAGGTACCCTACCCCCAATCTGCTCCCGCCTCCTGAAGTGCTCATGTGGCGCCAGGTCCCCCAAGCCCTGACCCAGGCTGGGTGGAGGATGCAGCTGGGTGAAACACTGAAAATTTATTCATTTTTCATTCTTTTTTTATATGTGTTTATATTTTTGGGCTGCAAAAGACAGTACTGAAAAAAAACCAGGTTCCAACTAAAGTAAAAAGTTTGGGAAACCCTGATCTAGCCAGCTTTCTATCCATTTTACAGTCCATTTATCCAATCCATATTCCCTTAACTTGCTGGCAAGAATATTGTGGGTGACTGTACCAAAAGCTTTGCTAATGCGGCACTGGGGGCTTTGGGAGGACCAGAAACAATTTATGTGAATATTAATCATTTGCTTATTGAATATGCAAATGAATGCTACCAGTCTTCCAAAAGCTCGTGAATGGATTTACTGGTCCCCGTGTCAAAAAGTTTGGGAACCCCTCCCCTAGGTGAACCATGCAATCGGCGCCTCCACCGCCAAACCCCTCAATGATATTGCGCCACCATTTGGCGCCCCATTTAACTTGGCGCCCTAGGCAACCGCCTAGTTTGCCTATATGGACGGACCAACCCTGCTGTCATATATCTTTAGGTAGTTTATTACCCCTAAATATTTTATTGTTTGTAATATTTTTCATGATTGAATAACTTTTTCACTTCTTTACTTGGGAAATAGTTTGTTTCCTTCTTTTCTTGACTGAATCCTGGATGTCTCACTGGGGATATGCTCCCAGCAGTGTCCCTCAGTGATCAGTCTCGAGACAGGGAGTCCCCGCTGTAAGTCGCCCCAGTATACATCCGTTCCACACTGAAGTTGTTGACATTTGTAGGAACTGATGCATTATAAGTCCTCCCATTCCCTGCTATAAGTCATGTGAAACACTCCCCCCAATTGGCTTAAATGGAAGTCAGCTGCAGGAAAAATTTCCCCGCTTTAAATTGTTTCACTGCAAGTCCAAGTTTTTTGGAATGTATCTTGGACTTATAGCGAGGATCCCTCTGGTACTAGTCAATATTTTCATTAATAACTTGGAGTGGAGAGTGCACTTATAAAATCAGGGAAGGTTGCATGCATTTTGGAATATAGGATTAAAATTCAAAATGACTTTGACAAAATGGAGAATTGGTATGAAATCAGTAAGATAAAATACAATAAAGATAATTATAAAATACTACACATAGGAATGAAGAACCAAATGCACAAATTAGGGATGTAAAATCCCGTTTAACTGGTTAAAGGCGATGAAGTGATGGGGTCAGTTTAGCCCAGCTGGGCTGGAGCAGCGCCCCCTGCGTGCTGTGGCTAGGGTGGAGCGGCCCCCTGCTTCAGGGAGGGGCTGTTCCAGCTTGGCTGTAGCAGCCCCTGCTTGCAGTGCACCAGCACAAGAATGTCCCTGTCTGCAGCGAGGGGGAATCTGTTCCAACTCCCACCGGTTAACTGGAACTGGTAAGTATCATCCATTAAGGGTGATGGAGTGGAGGGTGTAATTAACCTTTCACATCCCTAGCACAAATACAGAACAGTGACTAAATGGTTAGGTGATTGTACTACTGAAAAGATCTGTGGTGTGTCGTGAATCAACAATGTGATGCAATTGTGAAAAAGGCTATTTTAATTCTGTGGGGTATTAACAGTAGTGTTGTATGTCAAACATGAGATAACTGTATCACTTTACTTACCACTAGTGAGGCCCTCAGCGGCAGTATTGTATCCAGTTGTAGGCACCACCCTTTAGGAAAGATGTGAACAAATTGGAGGGAGAGCAACAAAAACAAAAACAAAAGGTTTTAAAAAACGTGTATGAGGTGGGTTAAAAAACCTGGGCATGTTTAGTCTTGAGAAATAAGATTGGTTGGGAGAGAAGGGGACATCTGATAATAATCTTCAACTATATTAAGAACTATTATAAAGAGGATGAGGAGCCATTGTTTTCAGTATCCACGAAAGATCTAACAAGAAGTAACAGATTTAATCTGCAGCAAGGGATTTTACATTTAGATATTAGGAGTAACTTTCTAACTATTCTAATTAAGTTCTGAAATAGGTTTCCAATGGAGGTTGTGGAATCCCCATCATTGGTGGTTTTTAAGAGCTGGTTAAACAAACAACTCTTAGGGATGGTCTAGGTTTATTTTATCCTGCCTTAGCATGGGTGGATGGGCTTGACTTTTCAAGGTCCTTCCAGTTCTACATATATATGATTCTATGCTAACATTACAGATGAGATGTGACTGCAGCACATATATGCCTACCAATGCTATTTTTAATCTATCTAGCACATCACATGTAACAATAGTAAAGTAGACTTGGCACATACCAGACTCTCCAGGCAGTTTGTACTCTGGCTGCTAGCCAGTGTTGTTATGTCTTCACTGTTATTATTACTTGTACTATGCTTAAGGGATGTAAAAATGTATAAAATATTAATCATATAACTGATCAAAATTCAATTGGTTACACAGTTAACGGCAGGGCTGCCTGCTTTCAGCCCTTTGGGGGCTGCTGGCCCCACAGCATGGTGGCCCCTGCCAGGCTGGAACAGCCCCCACCCTCGGTTTTGATTACAGGCAGTCCCCGAGTTACGCGGATCCAACTTATGTCGGATCCGCAGTTACAAACGGGGTTTTTCTCGCCCCGGAGGACGGGAGCGGCAGGACGCCCAGATGCGCCGCGGTCCCGCTGCCCGCGTCCTCTGGGGCGAGAAAAGCTGCTCCGCATCTCCCTGGTCTGCTGGGGGGGGAAGGCCCCCCCCAGCAGACCAGGGAGACGCTGAGCAAAGCCGCGGAGCACGCGGGCAGCGGGACAGCCCAGATGCACCGCGGCTGTCCCACACTTAATTTGATTTATGAGTGCTTTGATTTATGGTTTAACTTATGCTCATTCTTTGCTAACAAACTAAATATAAGGTATTTTTAGGTGGACACTTTTAATCCAGTGTAAGCAGACTGAACCAATTTAGTTACATTGGCACACCTGTCTCAGGTGGACAAGGCATCAGTCTAGGAATCTGACACCACACACTCATTTTCATGTAAATATTCGTGGTTCATATGAGTACCCCCATTCATGAGGATTACTTAACTTAGGGCCTATCTTTCTTCAGGTAACTCAAGAGAAATCTCATTTCTCACTTTCTTTGTGTCCACACGTTTAAAAAAAAAGCAGCTGGTAATACATTAGACAAAATGCCTTCCTACCAGATATACATTAAAAGTCACCTGAGCGAGGAACACATTAGACCTATTATGTCTGAAAGCATGGGCAAAGAGTATTTTAGGTAGAGGGAGGCTGCCCCCCCAACAGCCTGGGATATCTCCAATTAAGCTCTGCCCCAAGACATGTTCCTGCATTTCCTGGTGCTCTGCCTTCACCAGGCTGGCTGGGGCTGGAGCTGGCTGACCTGACTTCTGCACGGACTTGGGATGGCTGGCACTGCATTACCTGCCTTATGCTCAGACTATGCTGCCCCATACTCCAGGACTGGAGGCACTGCAGTCGTGCCACCCAGAGCTCTGGGATGGCTGCCCCTCGGGCTTCCTGTAGTCAGCCGCTGGTCAGTCTCAGCAGCGGCTGAATCTGGATGCCAGTTCCAACTTACATACAGATTCAACTTAAGAACAAACCTACAGTCCCTATCTTGTACGTAACCCGGGGACTGCCTGTATATATGTGAGATGTTAGTATTTTTGCCTCCTCCTTTAATTTACTCTTTTGCAACTGCAGAGGAAATCAGTCACATGGGAGTCAACTCTGTAATTTAATATGTAAATGTTTGCTCAAACCTCATTTTCTACAGGCTCTGTTTTGAAACAAGAAAAAAATCTAGACCTTATGGTTTGACCCTATGCAAAAGTGAGTTTTGAGAAAGCTGGAATAAAATTTCTTCAGCTGATTGAAATCTGCAAGTATGTAAGAAATTATAGAATGGGGGAGAGTCATTATAATCTCCATTGTTATTAATATTCATGAAAATAGCTAAGGAAGTGAATATTTCCTGAACATCTCTGTGCTCTGGAAATGGAGTGCTGTTCTGTTACACACTTCTCCTTTCCCCTCCTCCACTTGACTGTGTGCCCTAGCAGTGGCAACAATCCTGTTCTGTTCTCCTCACAAACTGGTACCTCTTTGTTTGGTATGCAACAGTAGTGACAGCATTTTTGCTTCTGTCTTCTTCACCAAGCACATGTAGCTGTTATTGCTGCTGCCACAATTGCCACATAAACCAGCAGTCCTCCTGCTTTGGCTACTTACTAGCCAGTCGGAATAATTAATTTGATGTTGGGCAAAAGCCAGCTGACATTCAAAACCTCCAAATATATCATTTCTCCCACAAAATAACATTGATCCCAAATTAACTAACTCTATAGTACTCTTACAAAATGCCACACTGTCATCCCCGTAAAAAACAGCTGAGCTTTGAAGCTCTGCAAGTATATACCATGTGAATGTTTACAACAGAGTTTAAACATTTTTGGCAGACTGTGGGTGTGGGGAAGGGAAGGTCAGTGGTTAGAGACTATTCTTTTGGTTGAACTGATTTATCCATTGTCACCAGAAGTGTGGGCAATAAACGGACACATTGTTCTCCTATTGCTGGTCATACGAAATACGGTCCGTCAGTTTTCAGAACACTACACAGTGGCAATCAGCCCATTAGAACTAGTTTAAATCACTTTTAATATTGTCAACATTATTTATTGTCTTTCAGTTTCCACCCTCTTTTTCCTGGATGTAATGAATTGGACCAGATATCAAAAATCCATGATATTCTAGGCACCCCTGCTAAGAAAACTCTTAATAAATTCAAACAGTAAGTGTGTTGAACACTCCCATATTTATTAATCTAAATAAGTAAAATCTGCTATATAGTCTAGCAATTTTCACAATCACTTATTTTATTTAAACACTTAAATCTAAATATAGTCAGTCCTATACCTTATTAATTAATATTTAAATACTTAAGTCTCACTTAAGTGTAATTCCTAAATGCAATTTTCTGATCACTCAAGATTAAAATTGAGGGGAGAGAGAATGTGAGCTACAAAAAAAATCTCAAATCTACTCCTTAGGGATTTGTGTCATGCAGTCTGTACCACCTAAATCATTGCTCTACAAACTTTGTGGTAAAGGGGATTTTTCTCGTCCACAAATGTAATGCTGCTTCATGCTACTTGCCAAATAGTGATTTTCTCCCTATCCAGAGGCAGTTCCTCTGTGGTGCTCCAAGGCAGGTGAGAAAATCAAAATTGTATTCTAGGTCTCAGCTAGCAGTTTATTAATGCACCGTCTAGCATGTCGATGATTTTATAAGAAAGGAGATTCTTCTTCATTATTTCCCTTTTTGAAATCATAGTAATTTACTGTGCCTAGTCAGCTTATTTTAGCTTTTTAGATATTTATTCAATAAGTTTAATATCCAGAGGCAGTTTATATGAATGATAAGTGTTTGCTCTATTACTGGGTTTAACACAGGTCAAGAGCTATGAGATTTGATTTTCCATTTAAAAAAGGGACAGGACTATCTCCACTTGTGCCTAATATCTCCCCCAAGAGCCTCTCCCTTATGTATGCAATGATAGAATACGATCCTGATCAGAGAATTGGTGCCCACCAAGCATTACAGCATCCTTATTTCCAAGAGCTGAGGTAAGTTTATACTTTCAATACAGGAATTTAAAGTTAGATTCTGAACTGCATAATGCATTATGGAGAAAGGAACTTGGTCTTAGTAAACCCTGAATTGATTAGGTGGTAATCACCTTGCAAATAAACATCCCTGCTGTTTTGCAGGTTTTTTTGTTTACTGCATTAAAACAACTGAGAATTAAAGTTCATATGGAGTTCATATGGCAGTTTGTTTTTTACCTCTTCATATGAAATCTGGAATCAAGTAGGACAGTATTGTTTGACTTTGTGTTCACCTTTTTCAGAGTAGCAGAGAAGCAAGCTTTAACTATGCACAGAAAAATGCGATTAGCAGAAAACATAGTGGGACAAGAACCTATCAACTTGTGGAATATTTCAAAAGATGGTCATAGGCAGGTAATTTTAAAATCAAATTTGAGAACATGCAGACTCTTTAAATAAAGTAATTGTAATGCCTAGATAAATAAATAAATGTCTTAATTAGTGGTGGTTGCATGTTTTATTCCAATTAAGATGTCAGACCTGTATAGGAATCTACTGTCACACCTCAGCACTTGTGCAAAATCCCATTGAAAGGCAGAGGTTAGGGCAGGGGTGGGCAAAGGGCCCTCTGTGAGCCAGATCCAGCCCTCCAAGCTGGTGGATCCGCCTGTGGCCACCCTGCCACTCCCCCACCTCCGGCCAATCAAGGCAAGAGCATGCAGCAGAGAGACATGCCAGCCATTTTAAAACGGCTAGCTTTAATCTATAGCTGACATGTGCCTCTGGCAAGGAGGAGCGGGGGAAGGAAGCTTTGTGCGCTCCTCACCCCCAGACCAATCAGGGCCTAGGGGTGGGAGCACGTGAAGTCTCTTGCATTCCTTTCCCTGTCCTGTCAGGGGCGTACAGCAGCTAGACACACACGTTGGCTGTTTTAAAACAGCCAGCGTGTCTCTCTAGCCACCACAGAGGCAAGGAGACTGTACTCGCTCCCCTAACCCCAGGCACTGATTGGTTATGGGGAGGGAGAGTGGCAGGGGGGGTGAGATTTGGCCCTATGCTCACCACTGGGCTAGAGAAACACACTGGCTGTTTTAAAACAGATGGCGTGTGTCTCTAGCCACCGTATATTCTTGTGGGGCAAGGAGACTTTATGCGCTTCCCAGCCCCCAGGTCCTGATTGGCTGGGGGCAGGGGAAGTGTATGAGGGCTCCTCTCTCTAGGGGGTGGAGGGCGGAAGGAAGGGAAAAGACATCTTGTGCTCCCCACCCCAGGCCAATCAGGATGGGGGAAGCACTAGAAGTATCCTGGTCTCGCCCTTTCCGCCCAAGGCCCTCCCCCTTCCGGGGTGGCCCGAGGCCACTTCAAAAATTTCTGAAGTGGCCCCCTTTTAAAAATTATTGCTCACCCCTGGGGTCAGGGCCTAAAGGTTTGTCATAGTCCCTTAATTAGATAGTGATAATAGTGTTGCTGATAGCTTTTTGCCTTCAGAATTAATTAAAAAGGACAAAATTTTTTATTTCTATTAATATACATTAGAAATGTTGGCCTCGTCTCTACCCTATTTTTCCTGGAAGACTATAGATAACTAGAGACCTAAGGTAACATTAGATGCCAAGGATATGAAACCTCATTGAGAGAACCTTATATGTAGACTGTTAAATCTTTTGTTTATACCTATCTAATCTAACTCCAAAATGATTCCACTTCTCCATCCCTTCATCCCAATACCAAGTTACTAATCTGCATCTCTGGGTCATCCAACTGAGACCTGCAACAAAACCGGACTTGGCCTCCCTAATTTGATATTTTTGTTCTTGACAGAGACAAGGTCGGTTAGCTAATAAAATGTATTTATTCAGCTTTTATTGAAGAGATGCTTTCAAGCTTCTCACAGCTCTTCCTTAAGCCTCTGTAGCTGACATATATTCAGCCTTTTTTTTTTTTTTACGTTAAACACCTCATCATTTGGCAACAACAACAAAAAAAGGTCACGAGAACAATTTTCTTCTATGGGTCACCTTTAAAGTATAAGTCCTTTTCCCAGTAGCAGCCATTTGCTCCAGTAATTTAATTATTGAGAGTTGGTTGAAATAGGATTTGTACACAGATACTTGAAAAACTACTACAAAAAAGAAAACGTGCAAGTAGTTATATAAGTAATCATGAAAATGGTGTGTGGGGGGGGGGGGGGTTTAAGAATTCAGCTGAAATGGAGCTTTGGTGGATTTTTTTGGTGGGGAAATGGAATTTTCTTTATATTTTATCCGATTTAAGAAAAATGTCATTATCAGCTGATTGAAATTTGTATCTTTATTTTAAAAGCACTCTCTTAGGAAAACCCAGGACAATCCAATAAGATATCATGAACCACCATATGCGATAGAATTGCCACAACTGAGTGTTTCTGGAGTAACCAAATTGACTTCTTATCCTATTCCTACATTTCATTCAGTTTTTACTACACCTGCAACAAATGGTGAAGTTCCTCTGTTACAACATATTAAATATATTGGGACAAATCACAAGGTAGTAAACTTTTAACCTTATTCATTTATATACAACATATAAATATAAATGTACAGACCATATTTCAAATATCTATCATTTTTTCAACAGTCTGAAAAACAAAAGGAATTTAAACCTTCAATGAAACAATACCATTTACCCACCATACAAAGAAGAGGTGGAGGATATTGACCATCTTGTCAAATATTTGGAATGTAAGGAAAAGCATGAATATGCAGTGAAACAGATTCAGCCATGCTTTCTCTATTATTGTCAAAGGTACACCAAAAGCAATAGTGCCTTATCATTTGTTTCCCAGAAATGCTGCAGGAAAATTCTACAAGACTGTTAGCACTTTATTTCTGAACCTACATCAATATTTAAGCACCATTTTGGAAGCTCAAAATGCACTTTATACTTCAGTCCTTTTACACAAATTAGCTTTTTTAATTTTTTTTAAAAACATGGATTTAGGAAAACAAAACAAAATTTAGGAAGTTTTAGTTTGAGTGCTAGAAATAATATTTTGTAATTTTTTATATTATCTATAAAATATAAAGTTTATGATGTTATTTAAGACTTGTTGAACTTGATCTGTTAATTTTGTACCTTTAACAGATAAAAATGTTAGTTGCCTATAGTCAATGTTGGAAAATAATTACCTCCTGTGTTACATAGATAGTTTCAAAGCTCAGGTCTTGTTAATATTTTGTGAATTATGATATAGCGAAACACCCAATTTTAGTAAAATTAAACTGTTTTAATTATATTTGAAATTTGTGTATACAAAAGATAGCTGTACAATTTCTTATTTGTCTGATTCACAAGCAAATCTATCTATCATTTGTGTCCTTTTCTTTTTTAAACCATGCTTCTGTATTAACCAAAAGCTTTGCTGGGTTTGGGGACTGGATGATTAGTTTGTTGAAATAATCATCAATGGTAAAGAAATAAAATGTGCATTTAGACCATTTTTTACATTTCACAAATTATAAGCACTCATTTAATAAGGTTCTCAGGTTTTTGTTCTGTAGAAGCCAGTACAATGCAGAAATAGTATTTTGGGGATGGTAGCAAAGGGATGTGATTTAAGCTAATGATACGGCTACCCCTCTGAAAAGAGTTCAGTGTGTTTGATTTTAAAATGTTCATAATATCCTAGAAAGAACAAAAATTATTAGTTTAGCATTAGCTCTGTTACAAGCTGGCTTTACAATTTCAGAACAAAACAGAGTTAATCTATAACAGATGTATTATAGCTATGTTGGGACTGGATTTTTTAAAGTTCTGGATATTCCTATGTAGCATGTTTTCTCTAAGATATATGGGAGTATTTAAGATAACTTCTGTACAATAAGCTCTTCATTTAAAAATAGTCTAGCCTATATTGTTGTAAAAGCTGCTCTGCTCACATCTAGAAAGTGAATAGATGTCTTCCTCTGTTTGAAAACCAGTTCTAGTGCTTCTGCTGCTCTTAAGAGCTTTTCCAAGCTGCAGCAGAGTGAAATCACCAAGAGCCCAGTCAGTTTTATAGCTGCTACTCAGAATGTTGTGGACCACAATTAAACTAAAGTCACTTCATGTTGGTGCTGCTCAGGCACTCATTGGAGTTGATGGGAAAACATACCGGAATCAGTCTACACTAGAAAATTCTGCCAGAATAGTTGTCAGGTAGGCTGTGTGTGTGTGTGTGGGATGGGGGCAGATCATACCTCATGATCAATATAATTAAGCCACATCTTATACTGACAAAAGGAGTCCTTTTGTCCATATACTTGTTGTTTGGGGCTAGCTATATGCCCCAACTCCTTTTACTGAGTAGCACTACATCTCCCATAGGGGGCTTTGCCAGTACAAATACACCATACTCTGTAGCCTTTGTGGTGCAGATTACTCCTCAAAGAGTTTAGAAGAGATGTAGGGTAATGAAGACCTCTTTTGTCCATGTTCTATCAAACATCAACTAGCCAAAGTTCAATGCAAACAATGGAGCCATTAGTCAAGGTCCAGGAACAGGACCATGGTAGAAATCCTTACAGCTCATGCACTGGGGTTAGGCTAAGATTTTGTCATGGATATTTTTAGTAAGTCAGGGATAGGTCACGGGCAATAAAGAAAAATTCATGGGAACTGTCCCTGTCTTTTACCAAAAATATCCATAATAAAATGGCACCTGTAGGGTGACTTAGAGCTCTTGGGCCCCTAACCTTTGAGACCTCACAGCTGCAGGGTTCCACTGTGGTGACTGGGAGCTGCAGGAGCCTCCTTGCTGCTTCTGTAATAACCAGGGAGTTGCTAGTGGTCTGCCAGCGGCTCCTGACCCACTGCAACAGCAAAGGAAGTATGGGGGCTTCTCCTTTTACTCTTAGCAGTCGTGAATTGTGGGGCCCACCTACTGCCCATACTGGCTCATAGCTTGAAGACCCACTCTCAGGCGGTGATGGTACCTCACAGCTCTTTGCCACTGCAGGAGGCAGTAGGACCTGCAGCTCCCAGATACTGGAAATGACATCACAGATTCCTTGAATTCTGAGACAAAATTGTAGCCTTAATCAGGGTAACAGGCCAAGGTGAAGTTCAGGGTCTTACAGATAGGATAACACTGCCGTTTTAAGACCCAAGAAATGTAGGGCTCTTGCAACCTTCATTTGTTAATGTAGAATACATGGTTTTAGAATGTCCTGGTACCTGGAGATAATGAGTTCCTAGATAACTTTTTTTTTTTTTGGCAAGGAGTGTGCTGGTCATCCTACATCTTTATTGCCTTAGTGCTATTCTACTTTCTAGAAGCAATGTCAGTGCTAGATGACTGGTCACTTTTTTTTTTTCAAATAAAGAAAGCCAACCTAAACCCCTGCCTTTTCATAAAAGAGCGTTAAATATGAAGATAAATTAATGTGATAAATCCAGTCAGACTGAGGAGTTAGCTGCAGCACTGTACATGCAGACATACCAGTACACCTATGCCCCTGTAGCTCTTAGTGAAGATGCTACTGTGCTGATAGAACTTCTGTTGGCATGGCTCTCTCATCGATACAGCACGGCAGTTAGATCAGTATATTACATCACTTGGGTGGATTTTGCACACCCCTGAGCAACAAAGTTATGCTGATGTAAGTTTGTAGCATTGATCTGGCTTAGGCCAGTTTACATGCAGCTACAATGGTGCTGTAGTATCCACTAACCTTCAGAGGTTTTTTCACAGGTCATTTGGTATTTGAAAGTTACCTGTTATAGAATCACAAGTAGTCTGAAAATAAGATGACTAATTTTATATTCATTAAAATCTCAGCGTGTCATTCTCTCTACCAAACACACACGTCAGAATAGTTTTGCAGTGATACATTTAAAAAAAAATCAAGACCTGCTACATCCCATAAGATTATGTGGCCCATAAAAGAAGCTAGATAATTTCATGGAGGTTAGGTCCATAAAAGACTATTAGCCAGGGGATAGAAATGGTGTCCCTGGCCTCTGTTTGTCAGAGGCTGGAGGAGGACGGCAGAAGACAAATCGCTTGATCATTCTTCGGTCCACCCTCTCTGGGGCACCTGGTACTGGCCACTTTTGGCAGACAGGCTACTGGACTAGATGGACCTTTGGTCTGACCCAGTAAGGCCGTTCTTATGCCTATTGCGGCGGTTTTCAACTTTTCCGGTCTACCTTTGTTGGGCATCTGATTTGTCTTGTGTACCTCAAGTTTCACCTCACACAAACTATTTACAAAGTCAGATATGAAATACAGACGTGTCACAGGGCATTACTGAAATTGCTTACTGTCTCATTTACCATTTATATTTATAAAGAAATTGAAATATAATGTACTTACATTTTAGTGCACAGTATAAACAAGTCACTTTATGAAATTTGTACTGATTCTTTTCTAGTGCTTTTTAAATAGCCTGTTTTAAACACGAGGCAAGTCTGGATGAACTGATATATCCCTGGAAGAATTCAGAATGCTCAACCAGGGTGTGCGCACCTCTGGTTGAGAACCACCTGCCCTAATTCAAAGAGCACTGCACTTGGACTCAGAACTGTCCCATTATTTGGCCCCTGTTCAAATCTGATTTGGTCACTTACCAAATCATTATTTCATGGCTGTTTGCAAGCCTGTTTTTATCTTACTCCAGTTCTTATTGAACATGTGTCCCTTTCTTAAATGTCACAGTCTAGAGTAAATACTTTCTCAATCCTTGAGGTGTTTCCTGTAGGTTAGGGTCAAGGTACAGTAGTGGGGCTCCTTGGCTAAATCTACACTGCACAGTTATTTCGGAATAAGATATTCCAGAATAGTTATTCCGAAATAGCTTATTTCAAAATAGCATGTCTACACTGGAGGGAAGCCTCAAAATTAGTCAGATAGTCGCCTAGGGTGCGTCTAGACTGGCAAGATTTAGCGCAAAAGCAATCGCTTTTGCCCAAAATCTTGCCGCCTGTCTACACTGGCCACGAGTATTTGTGTAAAAAACACTGACTTTGTACTGTACAAAATCAGTGGTTCTTGTGCAGATACTCAGATGCTCCTGCTCAGGGATAAGCCCTCTTGCACAAGTATTCTTGCACAAGAGGGCCAGTGTAGACAGCCAAGTTAATTTCTTGTGCAAGAAAGCCTGATGGCTAAAATGGCCATCGGAGCTTTCTTGCGCAAGAGAGCATCTACACTGGCACTGATACTTTTGCGCAAAAGCACCTCTCTTGCGCAAAGGCACATGCCAGTATAGATGCTCTCTTGCACAAATACTTTTAATGGAAAAACTTTTCAGTTAAAAGTATTTGCACAAAATCATGGCAGTCTAGACACAGCCCTAATGTAGACATGCTATCTCGATTTAGAGCCCCAGGAGGAATAACTTAGAATGGCCCTGATGAGGGGCTATTTTGAAATAGCAGAAGTGAAGTGTCTACACATGCCTTATTTCAAAATAGCTATTTCAGAATAGGTGTTATTTGTTGTAGAATGAGGTTTGCATAAGTTGGTATAAACCGTCCGTTATTTCGAAATAACAGAATTGCTGTGTAGACGCTCGCATAGCTATTTTGGAATAATAGCCATTATTCCGAAATACCTTTGCAGCATAGACACCTCCCCTGTACTGCCAATCTCCGTATATCACTTGCGTGAGCTGTGGACTTCCAGCTCCTGAAGTATCAGTTACCTTTCACAAATATAACACTAACAGAATGGCAAATAGGGGGTAACTAAGCAAGTGAAGTGATTTAGGATACCAGAGATGTGTAAATAAAAAATACCAGTAATTTAGAGTTTAAGCAAGACTCCTTCAACCCCATCTGGATGAGTACCTATGGTGTGTGTATTTACATAGGGTACAAAATTGGAGTTAACTGAAGAAATGGAAAATAGACATCTGGTGCACCAATAGCCACATGTGGCTAGCACGTTGGATACGATGGAAATAGATACCTGGAACATACAGTACGTTACAAACATCTGACCTTTCAACAAATTAACTACTTGAATTATCTATAGCACTAATAAAACTCATACAACATTGATTTGTTTGTCTTTTAAAACAGTTTTATTTAATTTCATGTGCATGGCAGTCGTCTTGTCTGTCTGGAAGCTCGTATTAACAGAGTTGTGCAAACTAATAGTTTTACTTCTGATAACTTAATATGCAGCTTTTTTTAAAAAGGCTGCATTTATCTAAAATCCAAATTTGTTCACTTTGCTCACATACAAAATTGTCATTTTCACTAATTTGTCAGTGTGGCAGCATGGCAATCACTAGCTTTGGCATGAATACCAGTGAGCATAGGGATATTTCTCAGTATGAAAATGTAAGTGGTCTCTTCAGATTTAAAATACAAAAAATGGCACATTTATATTCATCTGCTTTGTGTACTGTCATATACTACAATATGCTTTTGCTTCTTTTTAGATCCCCAGAACCACTACAGAGAACATTGGGAGCTGGATTCCATTTCTAGAGCCCATGATGTTGCTGTAAATCTTGAAAACACTGGGGCTGTATCTAGACTGGCAAGTTTTTCCACAAAAGTTGCAGAAAAACTTGCCAGCTGTCTACACTGGCCGCTTGAATTTCCGCAAGAACGCTGACTTCCTACTGTCTGAAATCAGTGCTTCTTGCAGAAATACTATGCTGCTCCCATTTGGGCAAAAGTCCTTTTGCGCAAAGGGGCCACTGTACACAGTTCAGATTTGTTTTGCACAAAAAAGCCTTGATTGCGAAAATGGCGATCGGGGCTTTTTTGCAGAAAAGCACATCTAGATGGGCACGGACACTTTTCTGCAAAAAGTGCTTTTGCGGAAAAGCGTCTGTGCCAATCTAGACGCTCTTTTCCACAAAAGCTTTTAACGGAAAACTTTTCCGTTAAGCATTTGCAGAAAATCATGCCAGTCTAGATGTAGCCTGGGCTTGCACGGAGTTAATGAGGGCATACTTGGGCCTGCAGAACCTTTATGACGAGTGCAGACATTTAGGGAAACCTAGATTGAATTTTGTTAGGCTAGGGAGTTAAAGATTTTTCTAATATTGTAAAATGAGTAAATTGAGAAGTAACCAAGAACCATGGAACTCCACAACTCTTATTTTTACAGAGTAACCTTTTCAAGCCAACCCATAATTTCTTCTTGTCCTGCATAGGGCTGTAAAAGACTAGTTGACTATCCGATAAGCATTTGTCAATATTCTCCCCCCCCCCCCCCCCCGCCCTTTGCTGCCTCTATGAGATAGAGACAGCAAAGGGGGGGAGGGGGCGGAAGGTGTACTTCAAAGTACGCAGCAGGGGCTCTTGCACATTTCAAAGGCGGAATGGGGAAGTGCCCATTGACTAGTTAAGTCAATTAACCACATTTAAACATCCTTAGTCCAGCATTAAATTTGCTTTAGACCAAAAGATGACTTGTATTCAAAATAGTAATGTCTGTATTTTCACCTCCTGTTTAAAAAAAGTTTAGGAATCAGTACACTAAATATAATTGAATTTTTGATCACATGACTACTGCAGAATACAAAGGAGCTTCAGAGAATAGCTGAATATAAAATCTTCCAAATAGTATATTTGCTGTGTTTTATTGTATACCACAGTAGAGGCTAAACACCCTCCTTTCCTCCCCCTCCCCCCGGGGAAAACACACTCAAACTTTAAAACTGCTGGTCTACTTGAGTTCTAATACTATTGCTCTGGCAAAACTGTGGGGATTGCTGAAATGAAGGGATTTGTATTTTAAGTTTGTCCAAAATGGCGTATTTCCCATGATCATTCTGAATGAGGCATGCAGGACTGGATTGATTCTGTGGAAGAGTGCCATGAGTGCTTTGTTGAATAGGGATTGATTACCCACATGTGCTTAAAATTAAGCACATGCTTGTCTCTTCAAATGTACACTCATAAGTGTTTTGCTGAATAAAGTCTTAAATAGATGGTAGTATTTATCTTTTCTAATTTGGTTACTGATCTGGATCCAAACTAGGTGACTGGATCAGAGCATTTGGTAATAGGCTACTCAGTTTGTCTCCACTGAGTGTTTAAAAATTACTTGGTTGCAATACATTTTAAATTCAACTGTCACTTTCCATATTTACCTAAATTGGATGTGGAGACATTAGTAAGGAAGGGAAGAAGTAGAATTATTGTCAAACTAACAGATCCAAGCTAGTTTTATAGCCAATGATTATCAGAGGTGGGGAACCTGAGGCCCCAGGGCTGGATCCAGCCACCAAGGCTATAGCCCTTCCACTGCCCCAAAGTAGGGCTGGAGTGCACAAAATGTACTAGGCTGGGGCTTCCACCCCTGGATTAAATAAATCTGGACTGCATGCAAAGAAGCATGACCCTTCTTCTATTGAAGTAATCAGCAAAATATAGTCAGAGCATGGTATAGTTTTTCTCCAGTGTTGCAAACATTTCAGCTAAATTTCCGGGGGGGGGGGGGGGCTCCACAGGACGACAATGGAACAGGTTGTGGAAGCTCCTTCACTGGATGTTTTCAAAATGAGTCTGGACAGCCATCTGTCTTTCATGGTCTAGACATAACAAATCTGTTTTCTTGGCAGGTTAGATTAGATAAGCCTTGCAGTCCTCCTAACACTGACTGTATAATTATGTAGTTTATTCTAACTTGACAGACCATTAGCATATTGTGATTAATATTTACTCAACTATACAAAGATGATGTTGGAATCTGGGATAAAGTTAGTTGGTAATTTAGGCCCAGATCGTGCCTTCAGGATTGGCATTAAACTGAGGGATTTTCTGCAGGTCAATTTAAATGTTTGGAAAGTCCTTCCATTTTGAAGGCAATGAATCCTGTAAGCAATAGCCTTCTCAGCTTTACTCCATCACATCTGAGCTGTACAACTGCAAGTCCAGCAGAAGCCCAACAATAGAATCACAGAGTGGGGGCAGGGCCTTTAGAAGGACAGTGAGATAATATGGCAGTATCTTCAATCACCCTTTCTAATGGATTTTGATCCAGGATAGCACAGCTGCTTTCCTTTCATTGCCTTGCAGAAAATACTGGGAGAGATGAAATGGCCTTTGTTTTGATAATAAAAAAAATTAGTGTCAACCACAATTAAGCTGCACTAATTAAAATAGTTGGCTCTAAACACTTGTTTCTACCTCAAATTTTAAATTGATAGCAAGGACATCTGATTTTTTTTTCATAGCAGTTGTCAAAATACAATCTACTTCAGTATTTTAGTATATAATTTGACTGATTTTTACAAAAGTGTGTGCACCTACCACTGTTACAGTTGTCTACATAAAAAGCATCAGCTTAAATCAATTCAACTCAAAGATTAAAACATCTGAGACCAACTGAACTAACTGCAATTATTAAAAGGCATCAGAAGAGATCTGCAAAAATCTGAGGGCACTATTTTCATAAATATTTTGATGTTGAATGTGCCGGAAAATGTATTCAGAGGTAAGTTGTAATAGGAAGAAGTACAGAGGAAAATTTTTAATTTCCCTAATCCAATTAAACTGCATTAAATATGAAAGTGTTCCTGATGTGAAAGAGTTTAAAGGAATATATTCTACAAGGATTAGTGTATTTCTGTACCTGTCATTTAATACAAAAGATTACATTAAAATTGATCCAATTTAAAACAGAACAAACAAAACTGCATATTCAAGATAGTTTAATATGTATTTTCAGAATTAGAAATCTTTCTTAGATGAAATTACTAGTGTACTGATCCATTTTCCTCCCAATCACTGAATTACATTTATACATATAATACATAGCTGATTGCAATTGCAAACAATATTAAAATAAATGTTTCATAGATACAAAGGATATCTTTTTTCCACAACATAGCTTTTATGGGTGTCTGAATACCCATTTTAAAGTAATTTTCTACTAGCATTAGACTAAGTGCAAATAATTTTGCTTTAAAAAAATCTGATTGCAGCATCCATCTTCCTGAATTACATTTAAGCCAGAAAGTAGTGACTTTCTTTCTCCATGAGTGCATTCCAGGCTGTCTTCTAACCATCTCTGGTTAAAAAAAAAATCAGTGCAAAAAACAATGGTGAAGTATTAATTTATATAACCATTAAACTTACTTGGATTTAAGAAACATACTCTATTTTACACATCTTTCTATATCTATATAGATATAGATTAAATTACACTGAACTTGAAAAATATAAAGAAAATTAAGAAATTTTTTTTTTACTGCAACACCAAATGAAGCATTTCTTTTTTAAAAAGGAAAATTCTCCTTTGGATGAGCAGCCTAGAAGTATTAGCCAGACTAAGAACTCATTACATTATTCTTTCGCAAATTATGTGATTCACATAATTCAAAGTGTATACACTGCCATTTTATATTTTCTGATGTTCTCTGCATGAAGAACAGCTCCTGGTTCCACTGCCATTACTTCTTGTCCTTTGTTCAAAGATTCGCTATCAGTAGTGTGATGGCTATACTACAGTTCCACTTGGAGAATTGGCCTGGTTTTGGGATGACAATAAACCCTGCAAACAAAGCAGTTTACATTAATCCAGCAAGAGAGCCTGTGACATTAACTAAAATAATTAATCTGCAGCAGATAAATTTATCAGTACAAAGATTTCTATGTACAGGCACATATTACCTTCTATGTACTCACATATTACTTTAATTCCTACAAATATCATGTGCCAGATTCCTATATCAAACATTTCCTTTAGCCTGCTTAGTAATGGTCAAATAAATGTTTCTGGGATGGATTAATAAATGTATGTAGAACACTATGAATTTGTAGCAAATGTTTGATCTTCGTTTGCCTTGCATTGTTCTCAAGCCACTGGCAATTTCTGGACACTTCTTTTTAAACCATACTACGCAAATAGCAAGCATCCTTTAAAACTAATGGTAAAATATACAGCAAATAGGCACTATAGAGAATGTGTCTACTCTGCCATCAAGACAAAGAAGGAAATTAGCTAGTTAACTTCCATTAATGTTAATACTATGGGTGACAGTCCAAAGTTCCTCATCTGGCAATGAAAAATAGTAAACAATACAAATATTTTCACAACTACGCAAATAGCAAGCATCCTTTAAAACTAATGGTAAAATATACAGCAAATAGGCACTATAGAGAATGTGTCTACTCTGCCATCAAGACAAAGAAGGAAATTAGCTAGTTAACTTCCATTAATGTTAATACTATGGGTGACAGTCCAAAGTTCCTCATCTGGCAATGAAAAATAGTAAACAATACAAATATTTTCACAAATATT